ACTGACTAGTATCTTCATCACCGTTCCGTCGGTCTTCGTCAACCGTTGTTGTGCTGCTGCGCTCCTCTGCTGGCAGAGGGTGATGAGCAGGTTCCGATGGCCGACTTTTCGCAGTCTGTCTCAGTACCCCCAACAGCACGCACGGCCCTTAGTATTCCGGCGACGACCGAGTAGGTATAATTTTCGATAGCGTCAATACCGTGAGTGGCAGGTGGCTAAATTTTACGGGAACTTTGCCACGCTGTCCAACTCTCCTCCTTTCTCAACCGCGCTTTGGACCGGTACCGGCGGAGGATACTGTAATATGCGCGAAATATGTAGTCGCTCGCCGCTACAGTGGTTAAATTCATCCAGGATCACTGACAGAATCGTTCTTGTCAAAAGTTTTGGAACACCTATCCATTTTTCTAAATCTGAAGTATAATTAGGGAGCAATTTTCCGCATAAGGTTTCAGTAATGCTTAAAGTCTAAAAACAGATTTGAATGATGCCGGACAGTCAAGTACACAGACTAAAGGTTTATGACCTAACGAGCACATCACGAAAGTCGTAATTTAAGAGGAATTGCGTGGCACAAGGTATTGTAAGGCTATATGTGAAAATAAGGCGATAAAAAGGTCAATACATACCGCCTTAGTATGATACATGCATTCGCTAAGGTCCCTCATCTCCAAATCGCAATATCGCAATCCCACGAAGTGTCCGTATGCTTCCATGCATCGATGAAAGTTTAGCTCAAAATTTTCGCACTCTGATCCTTGTAAAGTGATTATGCTGGAGAAGATATCGTGCATGGGACCATAAACTGCTGGGCCAAAACTTCCGTGCCAGCCAGGGACGAAGCGAGACATGTCTGCAACCTTTGTAGTCTGCACTCCTTAAATCATCGAAATGGTAGTGAAAGCAAAATTTTCGTTATGGCAACCAATAAAACAAGATCACAATATATCAAACAGTTATTTCTTTACATCAAAGACCGTTGCACTGCTAAAGGCAGAACCTGTTAAAAACTTTAATTCTAATTTAACGATTCAAATATTAAAAGGAAAGCTTTCCTAAAAACAGAACAGAAATTCTCAAAACTTTAGGGAAACTGATGCGGTTAACAGCGGTGCATGATACACAGAATACGTTTGTCTGAATGTGCAAACAGTTTTTACCAGTCAGTCAGTTAAAGCTAAGCTGCGAAATTTTCCAGCTCATGAAAGTGATTTCATATAAAGACTATAAATTATTCAACAATGTTCAAAAACATCTTTACCAACACTGAGAGTACTCTTATGCAAAATAAGAACGATGTAAATAATTTGCAGAGACACAGGCAGAAGAATATGGTGTCAAATGCTTTGTCGGTCATTTGACAGAAAAAACATGTCGTCATCAGCGTTATAGATGTTAGAGCGAAAAATTACTGCAGAGGCCTGATAATATCCAATACTGTTTAGCAAGCGCCCAGGGTCGAAAAAGGCGTCAACGCATCATTTATTTGTGACCATAAGTCAATCATGAGAACTCGTAATTATGAATACAGTGCTAAATTAATAACAGTCTCCGACAGCAAGAAGTCGAAAGTAGTGGTAAGTCAAGTCTTCGCCGTAGCTTCTCGAAAGCTGTTTTTTACGAATTCCACAAAAGCATAAACACAGCACAATTAGCTCCTGGTTTATACTATTAACACGCTGACCTGACTGTAGGACGTTGCAGGTTGTGTACTGCTTACGCTAATTCGATATGATAACATTCCCTACTGTCTTCATAATGTGGAATAATCGACAAAGTCAGTGCTACACTTTAGCGAATCACAAGATAGTCTCAATCATGTCAGACCATTGCAACTAACAGAAAGCCAGATAAATCAATGAAGCGTCGTTCATGCATAAACCCAACGTCTGGGTGCAGTCGCTGCAGCTATCTCGTCGGTTGTTTCTGCATTCTCAAAGTTGAATTTCCCACTGTAAGCAGTTGATTACCCCAAATGTTTGTATAAGTTGATGAGGCTCTTCTGAGTTGTTTCGGAGTAATCAGATGAAGGTCGTTGACTTGCAAACAACAGGTACAGCATTATATTCTGGTGTGGTCGTGCCAGAATGTGTGAGTTGTATGATCATGCTGCTCGATGCCGTCGCCTCATGTGGCTATACGTAACTTGATGAAACATTTGTTGTATGTTGTGCCAATTTAAACGTGTTCCAAAGGAGTTTTCTAATGGATAAAGACACTACTGTTGAAACAAAGTTTACATATATTAAATTGTCTTAATTAACTGTTCGCTTGTTTTGGTAGTCTAATTCGAATTCAGGCTATGTGAATCCACACTTGAATCTGCGGCAATATCCGCAACGATGTTGCACCCGAAGCCATCAACGGATTTGGACAAACTTGGCACATTTGTCATTCTTGTACTGAATAAATAGCTCTGCATTAGTGTCGGATTTGTGGTTTTCTTTATTACATTTTGAATTTTTCCTTTATTATAACAAAGTTTGCAAAAGTATAGTGGCTAGCGTCTAATGACAAACGCGAGATCTAAACGCATCATTTAAAGAGAATTTATTCATGTTGCACCACTCAGGAAGCTGCATATTTGAATTCAAAAAATATTGACATTTGCTTAACTGCAAATTCCCTTAATCAAAAAATTTACCCCTCGTTGATTTGATGCGGTCAGAAGCGGACAATAATTACTGGACTTTCGAATGACTAAGATATCACAATAATCTGGCGTCGTCAAACTGAAAGGGAAAGATGCATAACCATGTTGGTAGATGTGAACGCTACTCGCGGCAATAATTTGTTGAGATCCAGCTGGCAGCTAACTCTCCAGCCCTGATAATCAGTAATTGTGTAGCCCTACAAAAATGTTTAGTGTTAATTACATGCTGATGAGGAAAATTAATCCAGTCTGAGCATCTTACACGACGGCTAATGCGATGTACCTCGTTGATCTTTAAAGTGCAGTGATCCGTTGATAAAGACCTTAAATTTGAGTGCATGATGTAACCTCATTTGAGAATTTGTGAAAACAGCAGATTTGCCTTAAAAAATCAAACAAGCAGCGAATAAATTGCTAAGGATTCGACGTTACATGATTTAATAGCGACACAGTGATGCGCAATGTATACTTCTATCCACACTTATTCACTGCGCTGGTGGTTTGTTCCGTCTTGAATTTCTTACCGCTCCTTCAGGTACTTTAGTTTCGTATTTTGGTAGCGTATCACTCAATAACGCTAAACTTGCACATGCACTGCTTGGCCGAACCTTTTCTGTTTCGTTTGAGGTATCCATATATTCGGTTTTTCAGCCTTGGTGCAATTTTTCCAAAGCAAGTGTAGCCATGGGTTTAACCAATGCAATACACCATTTTAGCTGCGTGACATCGTTTTACGATACTAATCTTATGTAGGTGTGCATACGGTCCTAACGCTGAATTTGTCACTGCGTAACACTCCACTCACATTTCTCTGATATAGGTTTACCGAAAGAGAACTGTTCCCAACACTACCTACAGAATTAGTTGCATGATGAATTAACACTTTCTTGCCGTTTTGATCGACGTTTTGGAACTGCGACACCGTGAATAAATTACCTTACACGTAAATCCACTAATGCATCTACTCTAACACTGTCCCAATGTACACTGAGCGTTCGAATTGTTGCGAGCCAACGCAGCAAAAGGAAAGACCATCTCCTTATCGATCTGCTTGCCTTTCGTCCTACCAAGAAAAATGAAGTGGGAAACGAAATATTTTGTGTTTTCTACTAATTCTTTCTCGCTATAACGAAGTATTTGCTTGGATCGTAAACAAACGGAAAAATTTAGAAAAGAAAATGTAAGTTCCGTTAAATACTACAGGACTACAAAAT